AAAAATAGACAAATACCTTAGCCTCTTGCAGCTAAAACTGTAGCAAAAAAAGTTATTTTTTTGTTATACAGCAAAACAATAAATACCAATTTCTGAATTAATAAAAACAGCATCTGTCTCCTGTTTCAGGTTGTTGTTAACTCATGTAAAGTTTATTTGTACAGCACATTTCACCAACAAGGCAGTTCAAAGTGCTTCATTAACCACTGTCACATTATCCTGAATTACTGACAATTTTTCTATAGAAAAGAAATCAGTACAAACCGATCTGAATAAATCTTTACCTTTTTGTTCAGCTTCAGCATAAAGCTCACCATCAACAAAGTGTAAAGGTTTTCTTTTATCAAATACTTGACAACTGTATTTGTCTTGTGAGAATGTCACTCACTCTATCCATCTTTCAGCACCACTTACACAACACATGCAAGCCTTGTTATCGCCCCCTCTCTCACGCCAAATGTCTAACGTGTTGTGGTGTGAGCACCACTGGAACAACTGGATGCTGATGGATGAACACTGACAGTCCATTTCTGTCAGAGGGCTGCTCCCAGTCCCTGGGAGTGAATCTCAAGCAGTGTCAGCATGGCTGTGGTCAGTCCACTGAACAATCACGCAGGGCACTTGCAGCAGAAACCCTCATTTGCAACAGCACAGCATATGCACACAAGGATGTGGGTCAAACGCAGGAGGTTGATACACACATCCCCTTTTCTGTGTGCAGAGACAGCAACTTTGAGAAACCTGGAACAATAGTTCAATGCGACTGATATCTAATTCCAATGAGATTCCACGGCCATTAAAGATTTCAGCTACACCAAGAATGAGACAAAGAAAATGAGAATGAAAGGCATATGAAGTCTGCACACCTTAGGGAAAGTCATTATTGTAGGCAGTGCAAACCCACGCAGATTCGACATTGAATAATTACTGGATTTTGGGGGTATTACAATGCAGGGAATGCCACTCTTACATTAAGAGTAAAAATCAATGGAACAGTTGCTCCATCGAGGGTCCCTGGAGGACCAATAAAGCCTTTATAGGTGATTTCTCACCACAATGTGGTCGAGTCAAATTCCTAACTCTTTCCTTCAGTCGAGAAACAATAGAGTATTCCCATCTGAAACACAATGCCCCACAAACACCTCGTTAAAACCGTTATCCAAGCAATGGTCCACATCTCTGTCTAACTTTTAGTTTTCCTTTGTTCAAATTAAGAAAAGGTAACAGCAGTCAGGGGAGGCCTTTCACGGCTTTTTTTCTCTAGCCCTCATGAAGACAAAAGCCCAAAATCCAAGAACCAAAAATCAAGCGTCCACTAAGGGTATAATCAGCCGTTTAATCTCCTTTACTTTAATGAATCTTATTTATTTCAGCTAATTTTTAGTTCAGTTTAGGGAAGGAAAACAGGAGTTGAAAGGGGAGGAGAAAAAAATAAGTGTTTAATAAAACTCCAAAATAAATAAAACAGCAATATGTTGTGGGAAAGGTAATGTTTGACACTGGTTTCTCAAGAATTGCATGTCGTTTTATGACTTTGTATCCTTTTGCTTTTAGGATGTAAAGGACTTTGAGCAGTCTTGTTGCTGAAAAGTGATACACGAATAAAATGGATTGATTCATTGATTCCAATTCAAAGTCAATTTGTAACTCAGGGAGGTAAAAACTACACACTTATTTCAGACATGTGCCTAGGCAACCATATTGTTATTTTTGTGCAGTATGGCAGGTTCAGTGTTTCTGTGTCATTTAAAAACTAGTGCAAATAATAGTAAAGAAACTACTAATACAGTGCATACGAATAAATAATAAATAAACCCTGATTTTTTGCAACCGAAGTTAAGGTGAGTTTCAAGTGTTTAAACGTTTCAAATGCCTTCTTGATTCAGAATCACACCGAACTAAAGCACACAATAATTTAATTTGGTAGCCACTTCACCTCTGACCTGTGTTCACGAGGGAGTATTGACTTTTTCCTATCAATACTTGACCAAACAGACCCAATAGAGCCACCTAATTTATCTGCTTTTCTGGAGTATCTGTAATCTGGAAACACTCCACTGAAGCAAACAATCCAACAACGAAGGTAGTTGCATATGTTGACAAGTGCAATAAAACGCACAATCGAACACGACCACTACAACAACCACTTGAGTCGGCTTATGCGTGGATTCAGAGTCCCAGTTAATTATAATGACGCTACAAAAACGCCAATATGCCTAATGTGAAAGAGTCATTTAGTTATGACTGTGCTCATAAATACCATACATTGTATTTAATTAGTCTCGCAATGCGTTACTGTATTCAGTCCATAAAGCTAACAGCTTGTTAGTGAGCAACTGTTGCCAATTTATTATTTGACGTAATTATGCATTTGGTTTTCAGCAAAACTGATAATCAGTTATATCTCGCTGCTCTTTTCACAGGATTTATGAATGTCTGAGCAAACACCAACCGAACCATCTTTTTGATTTACTTGCAGATATAATATAACTTACACATCAACATTCAGTTTCTACTTCTTTTACACAATTACATTTAAAATAATAATAACAATCTGCATTTCAAGCACCTTTATTTGTGAATGTTTCCTTTTGGCACATAAATTCCCCCCTTGCCCACTGTTGAGACCTGGCACAAGGAAAACTATAGACAGGGGAAGTGAAACTCTAAAATCTCCAAAATCAACTTTTCAACCGTTTTGATCATGAGATGATCATTTTACTTTTTATACAGATACAAACAATGAGGCGGTATTCCAAAATATTACCAAATATGTTGAGAAGGAGATGAAACTGACAAAATGACCAAGACAGCATAGCAGTGGATAGCAGTAGAAGAGTTATCTACAATAAAATGGTGCAGTTAGTAAACTTGGCAATAAAGCTGCTATGTGTATGCGTGTCTGTGATGGACTTGCCACGTGTACAGGGTCAACTTCTTGCCAGTTGACTGCTGGGAATAGCTCCACCTTCCTGTTCCTGTGAATGGGACTGAGTGGATAAAAAGGGGATGAAAGATTGCTTTGTTCTTAGTTTGTAACATCCCATAAGTTACTTATGAGTTCTCTTCCTGGTCTTTGTCTCTAGCTCGCCTTTTTATTTGCCATTAGAACGCTAATGCTTGTATAAAGGTCACCCTTTAAAGAGCTAAGTAAGTCCAACTATGTCTGCAAAACAACAATACCAAGAAATACAGAAATATGTTTTTATGTGTGTTTGTTTTACAAACACACACACCTTTTTCTTTTATTGAATATGAGGTTATGTCCTTTAAATCACAGGGACAGGAAGGTGCGCTTTAAATGAGTATCCTAAAAATGCGGGTGTTTCTTGGTAATTCACCCCTACTGCTACACTGCCATGAAAACAGGATGTGCAAATTAAGAATACCATGCATCTCCCTTTTACTCTGGCAGCTTGGATTCACATAGGTGGTTCCATCTTTAACACACCAGTATTCATGTCATGAAAAGTTTAAACTCCAAGTCTTTTTGCACTCTATTTTCTTTTTTGACCTATGCATTTGTCCAGAATTGATGTTCAATTTTCTGGTATTTAGAACCAAAATGAGTTTCACATTAACCCTTGGTAACCCCTCTTACTGAGAAATTGGATCATTCGGCAGCCGTCACTCTCGGTCCGTATTGAGTTAGGGTGGGCAAGTTTAAAGATGAACACTGTATATCTTTTCATTAAGAAGTGTACTCTTCACCTGAGATACAATTAAGGAAAAGAAACTGCAATTATAGCCAATTTGCAAAAACAGTGATTCTACTGTGGAGACGATAACAGTCTTTGCAATTACCTGTCAGGTTTCAAAGCATGTGATGCATGATAACTATTTTTAACCTCAATTGCAGAATCGAAAGAGGGTTTTCCATTGTCAAGTCTAACTGCTTAATATCTGGTTTGGGTGTACCCCAGTTTGGTAGTGTCTCTATTACACTCTGTTCTTCACTATTGTGGGCATGAATATGGGCAGGGCGTGACCGAGCAGGATTTTGCTCTCCAATGATTTCATTTACGATGATGCTCAGCAATGGAGAACCGCCAGGTTGTGGTTTTGATTGACTCAACTAATCCTAGATATTTCATTTTGTTTGATAGAACTTCATTGCTGGCCCAAACATAATAAAAACAAACAGTTCAGATTCAGATTACTATATTTGTGTAATTAACAACATTATGGACCCTTTTTTTTTTTTTTTTTTTTTTTAAATGAGCAATCTTTTGGATTCATGTAATGCAGTCAAAATGTGTAATGCAAAGCAATATTTATACATGAACTTTAGTTAAAAGAGCATTTCAAATAAAGATTAAAAAGCACATCACAACAAACTAATAGTGTGTATTCTGGTTGGGGTGACAATTGACAATTGACAAACGTGACAAATGCTTTTTTGTTTTTTTCCGATTGGTTGTTTATCATGAAAGTTTGTCCTTCCAGTTTGGACTTGCACAGTCATCATAACCACAGTTGACTATTTCACTACATGGCTTCATAAGTAATAGAATGAACAAACCTAAAGAAGTCTTCTGAGAATGACATTCAATGAGACAGGATACACTTTGATTATAAAACCACTGAAGCAAAAACAACTTGGTAATTTTAGGTGAGCCTCCACACATGGCATTCTGTAACTTTTAGAAAATTAAATAATATTTACCATTTCAGGACATGATTGGTACTGCATGACTTCTTGTTAACAAAAAGTCGTCTATGAAGCTCATTTTACACTATTGACATTGAGCAACACTACTCTAATTTCATTTTAATTGAATGGATTAAATAAAGTTGTGGCATTGTTTTTGTTTTTCATTTCTTGATCCTCTTACCACCTTCTCCAAGTGCCTTGAAGGCTTCGATGAGAAGAATTGCGTAGTAATCTTGCAACTGTGCCAGTGACAGGTGTAATAGATTGTAATGTAGCATCATCAATATTGAGGCATGCGACAATCAATGCACTCATGCAAAGGGTTTAGGTAAGGCTCATTAAATACCTGAGCCTCTCTTTGAGACCACTTTCACACTCTTGGACAGGGTGAAGTACAGCAGGATCAGGAGAGGGCTGGGAGGTCTCATCTTCCTCCCCCGTCCTCAAAGCCTGAAAAGAGAATAGTAAAAGAGGAAAAGGGAGGAGGGGTGAGGCGTTGGCAGAATAGAGAGAGAGAGAGAGAAGGGCCATCAGTCACGTGCCAATGTATGTGATCAAGGCACTCTCCACTCACACACATTTGCACAACCACTTGTCAACACACGAACCTGAACATTCACCCAACACCGTTTTCCAATGCTGCCCTGAGGGGTCTTTTGTGTAACGATTTACTTTCACCATTGTAATTGAGACAAGCGATGATTACACAGATATTTTTTCATTGGAAGCCGTTTCTAGGAATGCTGACAAATCAATAAAGAAATTACGTGTGAGAAACATAGATTTTAATCACCACTTCCCTTACGAAAAGAGGCAAGAGGTGGGACACTTCACACAGTATTTCACATCATCACCTTGTGACTTACAGAGATCAAGCAAATATACCACCTATTCCCCTGATCGACTTATCTTACATCAATTGTCGGTGGTGGCTCATTTTCTACTCCTCATCTTCCCTGAGTAAATGACATAATCTAACATGAAGTAATTACCCTGTAATAGCTGGCTCCTGAAATAGAGCTTGTGCTGCTCTATAAATTTGATGTTAAATGAAATAAGAATTCACTAATCAAAGTAGCCATTTATTGACCGATGGCATTACCTTTCAACAACCCCAATTTACCTGCAGTAAAACAACACTAAAGCGTAGTCAGTCGCATGTAGTGGGTTTACACAGTGTTAAACATTTAACTGATCAAAAATAAATTAAATATTCTTTTTTACACTTCAACTTTTAGACTTTCAATTCATATGTACTTTTGTAAGCGCAACAAGAAAAAACATTCGTTCTCAATCAGAACTAAAATTATCTTAAATTGCTGATTAAAAAAGCTGCAGAAAGTGCAATTTTTTTAATCCAATTAATCCTCAGACTGTTCAAAAGAATAATCATTACTAAAATAATCATTAGATAGACTCTTCTTAATTAAATCTTCATTCTAGTTTGTGGTAAGTTATTGAAAAACAATTAAAACATTCAAATAATTAAATTAAATACAAACCCAACAGCCTTCTACTTTCTAACATTTACTACTTTACCTTAGTTTTAGGTGTAACAGAAAACTTGAAAACATATCCAAAAACACCTATTAACATTTTCAGCCTAAAAATGATAGAAACCATGTTTTAACAGATTATTTTTACTTTTTCAAACTGTTTATTTTCTCTAATGATCTCTTGCTTATCAAGTTTCTTTACTTCCAAATAACTTGTAAATTCTTAAAAAGGTGAAATATTAACTCAAAACTTTATTTATCCTATATTTTTGCTCAGATAATTAGCATATTAAGAAAACACGTGATTCCATCATTTATGTGCTTTATAAGGTTTATGTTTTCTAGAATATGTGTGTTATGGCTCTTTTTTTCTTTATTGTTTTGCAGGTTCGGCTGCGAGAGCACGAGGATTGAGGAGCCAATCAGATGTTGATGAGCCTCACCCGTTCACTATAAAAGGCACCTAAAATAATTTTTCCAATGGGGAGCAGCTAATCGGAAGAGGCTTTGTTCAGCTGTCCTCTGTGTTTGTTTGACTGCCTGTTTGTAATTGACTGTTTTGGGCAATTGTGGGGAACATTGTATGACTGACCTGTTTTTGTTCTGCTTAGCAAGTTCTGACTTTGATCTTGATTGCTTCTACACTGTACTGAAGTGTGTGTTTGGGAGGTTAGGTTCTCCCTTTGTGTTATTTATTTTGGGTTATTTTGGATTGACTTGTTTGGACACTTTGTAATTTAAATTACACTGAATATTCTTTAGTTTGTTAATCCTCTTTTTTTTCTGTATTGTGTTTCGGTTTTGTGAAACCTCCTCTTTGTAATCATTTTTTATATCCCCTATTTTCTCTGGACATTTTTATGTTACTGCCCCTGAACCCCTAGACCTTGGGGGCATAACAATGTGGCTATCAATTTTCTTTTTTTAAATTACAGTCAGGAAGAAATACAATTAATAACCAATGTTATTAAAATATGTTTCAATGTGTTGAATATTGTCAAATGTTCTGATTTCATGGCTTCCCACCCTTGAAAAGGAGTACTTGAAGAGACTTCAGAATTTCACTTAATATTTTATTTTCACCAGTGAGTGTGAATCAATGAAGAGGTGAAAAACCCACAAAAACATACAAAATGTTTTAACATATATTTTAAACATTTGTTTTAAAGTTAATTATTTATCTTAATGACCAATTCCATTTTAAACCTTAGACATACATTTCTCTCTCAATTTTAACCCTGAATTCAAGTAACAAATTATTTAATTATGTCTTTGGTTGAATCGAACAAATCCAAACATTTTAGAATGACCTTTTTATCTTTTCCTCTTGTCATAAGTTTTTATAGTGAATATCTTAAATATGAATTTAATAGAGCCAAACTGGGAAGAAAAAAAAACTAGCAGTGCAAACTGTTCCTTCAATAAATTCTGCATTTCTTTTTATCAAATGGAAAACCAAAGTCAAATTACATTTCAACTGAGTCCAGTGAACGCCTTACTGGTAGTTGTGTTTGCTATACAGTAAGTCCTTTTCCCTTGAAATGCTTCTTTGGAGACTATTTGCCTTCCTCAGCTCTGTTGCAAAACCAGCCAAATGTTTTGGTGGATTCCTTATATTACCTGACTTGAGGGTGTTGCTGATTTATTTCATCAGCTGAGAAGTGCTGCAGAGTGGCACACTAATGTGTGTGTTCATGCACACACATCTGAACCCGTGAGCAGATCTGCGCGACACTTATTCTCACTAAATTTGCTGTCTTTTTTATTAAAAAGAGAAGTCTATTCTGCCTTTGTAAAGTGTCTAAAATTATAGTGTTCTCCTTGAGGTGGTATGATGTAATGAGATAAATTCTTAATCTTTGGGAACAGTTATCAAAAAATGAGTAGAGTTGATATTTTCCAGTGGGTGTAAAGAATGACTCGACTACAACAGAAAATTCAGATCATAGGCTAGGAGGGAGAAAATGGAGCCCTGGCCGCCGAGGACTGGAAATAGGAGTCTGAGCCAGAGGGGACCTTGGAATATGCGGAAAGTCACATGCTCTCTAGATTTGCATACTTGATGAAAAGAGCCTCTCTCAGTGTGAGTTTCCGAGGTACTCGCAATCCTCCATTTGAAAAAAAAAAGATATCTTTCCCTCCTGACTGTATGCTTGAAAACAACTTTTGGTTGATAAAATACGAATAACATTCTGCTAAAGGACACTGGATTTGTGCCTCTTTGTACGGGAAAAAAAAAGGTCTGAAAATTTGACAATGAACTTGTTGAGGCTTGAATTGATGCTTCCTTTCTCTGGGATCTAGAGTTGTCTTAATTATTCAATTTCCTCTTAAAACATCTGCAACTGACCCTTCTTTATGTCTAAAAAGCCAGAATGTTTTTAAAATGGGCTTAAAAGAAAAAAAAAAGAATGATAAAGGCTCTGCGGTCCTAACAGGGTCCCAATTGTACATCATCACCAAAGCATTATATACTATGGTCATTAAACCAGATATTGGTGCTGCAAATCTGGCTTAAAAATTAAATTAAATCAGCATCAGCACAAAGCTCTTTAGCAGAGAGAAGCATGAAACGCCCTTAATTTCCTGGCTGTGGTTACTTTGCACTTGATTGTATGCAGTGGACAAACCCCAGCAGAAGACAAAACCATGTTCACAAAACCATCACTGCCTGTGAAAAGTTCACACTGGATCACGAGAGGCTTGGATTTGTGTCTCTCCACTCTTCCTTCAAATTTTTGACTTCTAAATGAAATGTAAATTTTACGAGCCCAATCCATTTTTCTCTTTGCCCAAAGAAGATGCTTTTGACATCTTTGACTTAAGAGTGACTAAATACAATGTCGTGGATGTCCGTGTTTAGTCACCCTTGAAGCACTGACTTGAACCACAGATCATGCTTTCCATCCTCCGTTGTGCACCTTTTCACATTAACATCCTCAGATATGGTCATTTGAAAAGTAAGCTTTGGCAGCAAACATCTTTTCTGATTTGCACTCCTTGTAGCTGTCAAGTCAGCAGTCTTCTGATGTCTGTGTACATCATAACAAGGCTATAACATTGTCCTTCTGTAATGAAAGAAATAAGATGGCTTGAGACACCGAATTTGAGGTTTTCTGTAACATAATTGTTTTTTAACATTAACACACAAACTTTAAAAAGTATCAGTAAGACAGATGAGTAATGTTTTTTTTTTTTTTTAATAAAATTGTAAAAATAAATTAAGTTTTTTAATGATATGCCAAGTGACTTTGTATTTAATTTGCTCAATGTCATTCTCTCACTACTGAAGCATCACTCCAGCAAAGGAGTGTTGGGTACATTGACTGTGGGGAAATCTAATTGACAGAATTAGATTTATTCTGGTGCCGAGTGGTTGTGTAAAAATACAAAGAGTTTGTTTACACAGATAGATGACAAATCAAAAGTCTGCAGATGATTGTTAGAGACTTTCCTTTCCTTTAGTTTACACTTTTTCAGTAGTTTGACCCAGCATAGCAATGTCAGTGACTCATTCTCTTTGTTCAGATGATTTCTTCATGCCTTCATAAGCTTGGAGTATTTATGTCCTGCCAGCCATGACCTCTGTCACCTCCTGCACAGAGAGAGCATCGCGTATGTCACTGAACCACCATGAACACAAACTCTTTTGCCCGTCCACCTCTCTTTATCGCTTCGCTTTCTGCAATCTCACCACAAGGCAGCTGCCACTGAAAGACATAAGTGCTAAAAAGCAGCTTGTAAGAGGTAACACCAAAATGGTCAGCACGCCAGACTCGCTGCTTACACTCGGAAAACAGAGCGTTTCTCGATGTACCAGTTGTGGAAAAAGCAATAGCAGACATTAAAGCAGCGGTTTTTGGACTCCATAAAGCAGCGGTTTCAGCTCCTCATTGTTAACCTTTGTAATGACTGCCACTATTTGCAGCAACAATTGAAGATTCGTGCCGTTTT